TTTCTCTTTTTTTTTTTTTTTTTACTTTTTTAAGTTGATCCAAGTGTTTTAGATTTAAGTGTATCATCTCCTTTCAAGCCACCTTGCAAGAATGGACTAGGCTGTAGAAACATCACTGAGGTGAACATTTTTCCCTTTTTGCAGAAGAGGTGTTTTTGATCATTTAGTGAGATCTTTTCCTGATTCCTTGGTCTAGAGCTGGTCCCTTCCATTTTTTCCAAAGAATATTTTGTCCTGCTCTTTTAATTGCATTATGAGGGAAGAAATTGGTTTGAAGTTTCAAACTACTGTTTGAGGATCCAAATGAGGGTTCTCATCTCTTCCCTGCTTCCTGCAAAGGGTTTGTTTAACTTAGGCCCCTGGATGATGCTCCCAGCACCTGGATGAGTTGGTTTGCAGCAGCGTTAACTCCAACTAAGGTGAATCCTTTTATTCTCACCACAGGAATTAGAGGTATTTCAGAAGAGACAACCACTGGAGTTCATAACCTGTACAAGATGAAGGCCAATGGGACCCTGAAAGTGCCAGCTATCAACGTTAATGACTCTGTCACCAAGGTAATGCAGCTAGAGCTCTTCTGCTATGTTCTGCTATCTGACCAGTTTGGTGTTGGGATATTGTCATTCCCATGCAAGTATTCCTTCTCTTGCTGAGCTATTCTTGACCTAGTACTGAACAGATTTTCACCATATCCTTGACGTGAGCCTATGATGTCTCTAATGGGACGTGCTGTTGTAAATACCCTGTTTTCAGAATATCAAGGGCTTTTTTTTGTATGTAAGGATGTCCATTTTTCTGCATTTTAATAATGTGAGAACACCTTTGGAAATTGTGACTCCTGGGGTACAGTCAGTTCCTGCAGCAAGGGGCACGTCCTCACTCTGAGTAGCTTAAACACCACAGGTAGGTGGCAGGTACCAGCTGGAGAAGTGACCTACATGAGCTTCTTGATCTGATAAGTATGTCTGCGAGCAGCAATTGCAAAGAATAGGGCAGGAGGTATTTATTCCTTGCTTAGCTATATTCCTGCTTCCCGAGACAAATCCTGGTGAATTGAGAGATGAGGGGGAATGGTGTTTAAAGGGTGCTGGCGCTTTTTGGATGCGGATGAATTATAGTGGGAATTTCAGGCGTGCTTAAGGTTTATGCATCTAGATGTTTTTCAAATCTAGTTGCTAAATCTATTTCAAGTTGGCATGCTAACATTATCCTATTGGGCATGGCAGTTCTCACTGGCCTGCTTTCTCTCCAGTTTGCTACCTGCAGAATATTTCCTTTCTGCTCAGATGCATCTGGCATTTTTATTTCATATCTAGTGGGCTAGAATCCAGTTGATCTTGGAAAAAGCTTGTTTCTCTGCCTCCCTTTTCACCTAGATTTGTGCCTCCTGCATAATAACTATTAATACTGTTTAGTAGATTTGGAAATTCAGAAAAGAAAAGCTGCTTGAGTGGATTTGGGTTGAGCTCACTTTAGTGCCAAACAAGTGCTTATTTTCAAGTATTTATGTAGTAAAAGATTTTTACTAACCACAGTTACATGTCTCCAGGAAGACATGCAACTGAGCTGACAAATTGTGCTTTCCCACTTTGATAATTTCACTGGGTGCCAGGTTCCTATACTAGTATTTGGAGAGAGAAGGCAGGCAGCATCCAGTTCTGTTCTGATGTCTGCATCCGGCACTCTGCTCCTTGCCTGCATGGGAATGCACAGGCAGCTGGAAGGCTTTGATTGCAACTGGGGGATTGGGTGATGAGGAATCAAATCTAACCATGCTGTTTTCCTCCATAAGAAGGCTTATACCACAAGGAAAATGTGCTGGAGGACTAAAAAGAGGATTACCAACTGGCACTAGCTTTGGAATTTGAAGGATGGGAACAGAAATTTTCTGAAATATTAATGGCAAACGTGCCTGTGGTAAGAGTTACAGGCACTGGGTCAGGGACTTCTGTACCTGAAGTATAACTTCTTACACGTTAGTCCTGGGCCAGCTTCTGAGGCTGGGAGTGATATGCCACTATACCTCATAGCTTGCTCAGATAATGCATTGGAGTCATAGCTGCAACATTTGCATACATGGACTTTTCATTTTTTTACTAAAAAAAACTTTACAGCTGTAAGCTTTAGACTGAGAACCAAACTGTAACATCATCTTACACATGCTAGATGGCACCAGCCATTGCTGCACGGTCGGTCCTGTTTGAAAGATCAGTGGTCCTACTCGCATCTACATGTGCAGACTTAAGATTGTTTATAGCAGACAGTGCTACCTGTGTTGAGTGAAAGCAAGAATGGCTGGTGACCTAAGGCTGTAGAAAGCACAGGGCAGGCTTTGAGACCAGAATTTTGCTGGGGGTGGTGAGTTATTTATATCCCTGCTTTGGGAAGCATGGCACAACTTGAGTAGCCAGTTTTTTTTTTAAATTCTTGGCTTCTGTAACTCTTCACATAATCAAATCTGTTTATACAGCCCATCTTCCTGGTCAAAACAAAGGGCCCAACGAGAAAAAGGGAATAGCATTACAAAAGTTAGTACAGCAATGTGTGTTTCTGAGTTTAGGAAGATGTTCAAGTGAATACTATTTGACACTTGAATTAGCAATTTCAGGCAATTTTTATTCGGAGGTTTGGCTGTTAAGCTCATGTGTTGAAGTTACAGTAGCAGGATGTGTGATGGGGCATTAGGAGATGAAATCCAGGGGTTCTTGGTTGCAGTGCCTGGTACGGTGAACGGCTACTTGCTGTTTTTTTCTAGATCTGAGCAGTGTTGAGGTCTGGCAGTGTTAGGGTAACTCTTCCTGGGGGGAAGATGCAATTTTGATCTTCCTGGGCTGCAGGAACCAATTTCTCACTGTCGATGTGGGCAATTTGCTACTTCTGCAGGAGGCATGTGTCTTGCAAAGATAAGAATATGTGCTAACCAACTGGCCAGATACTCTGCTGTGTGTTTTTGTCTACCTGTGGCTCTTGGTTCGGTTCATTGTCTGATAAACAGCAGCAGAGAACTGCTGAACATCTGGTTAAGGAACTTGGACCTACCTCTGCATGCAAGAATTATTTGTGCTTTTGCTTGATACAGGTTACCTCTAATCAAGCTTTTAACATGTCCAAGCCCTGGTCAGTAGACACAACATATTTATGACATGCTTCTCACCAGGGATGTGCTGAAGCCTGTATCTGGTATAACTATATAGGTTGAAACTGGTTCAACAAACACACCAAACCAGATTATCTTGTTCCCATCCCTCACTGTGGTTAAAGTATTTAGCTGACTGTCAGCCTCTTGGTTTTTAGTACTTGCGTGTAAGTCCATTTTGTTTCTCTAAGGAATTTTTACTTGAGTAACTTTCATCTGCTCTGAAACTGCTTCTTTTTCTTCCTCAGAGCAAGTTTGATAACCTTTATGGTTGCAGAGAGTCCCTCATCGATGGCATCAAACGTGCTACAGATGTCATGATTGCTGGAAAAGTAGCAGTCGTGGCAGGTTATGGTGATGTGGGCAAAGGCTGCGCTCAGGCCCTGCGGAGCTTTGGAGCCAGAGTCATCATCACTGAAATCGATCCCATCAACGCGCTGCAGGCAGCCATGGAAGGTGAGAACTGAAGGAGATGCAGAAATTAATGTATCTGATGGGGGACTTTGCATGTCAGTGTAGAGCAATAAATAATAGTTGGCCAAGAAAGTTTCAGTGCATTTCAGCTCTGTCCCTGTTGAGGTAGGTAGAGGTGATGCCAGTTTAACTGTAGGAATTCTTTCCTTACAGTTAGGGAAGGAGTTAACTAGTAGAGCCTTGAAGTTATGTTTGGAGTTGAGGATATAGAGACCATAGTGGGATAAAGTTCCTGTTTCCTAATGCTATAAGCCTGGCTCTGAATCGGTTCATTACCTTCAAGCTGTGCAACTCTAACCTCCAGTGTGGCTTAAGAATTCACTAAAATATCTCCACAATAAAACACCAGTAAATGTTTTTGGAGAGCAATGCCATGCTCTCTGCCTTTCCAGCTGTGCTGACGGCACGCTCTGGAAGCTGTGCTCCTTCTCTTCTGTGGGTGCCTCCTGTAACTATGCTTCTTGGTTCCAGTTTATCCCATTTCTGTTCATACCTGACAAGAACCTGCAGGTGTTGTGGGTGCATTTTCCTTTGCAAACTTGAATCTAGTATGAGTGCTGTGCCAGGTACTATGTCTGTGGGCATAAGACACTGAATATATAGATCTACAGATTGGAAATGGGTGAGGGATAGATACTTTCATACTATCTTGGTATTTACTAAGACAAGTATGCCTGCTACGTTCATCCTCCCCAGCTCAGGTGGTGGCACAGGCTTCTCTTATTCTTTCTCTGCACTTTTTGGCTTGTAATATTGTAGCCCAGTTTTTAATAAGTGTGCTGGTGGTTGGCTAGAGGAGTAACTTTTTCTCTTTTCAGGTTATGAAGTTACGACCATGGAGGAGGCCTGCAAAGAAGGCAATATCTTTGTTACCACCACTGGCTGCACTGACATTGTTCAGGGCAGGTATGGTCTAGCCACTTGCTTTAGTGAAAGCGTACTTGTACAGTTAGATTTTTTTTAAATACAATCATAACTTGTCAGCAGTATGGTGAGGGTTAGCACACAGTCTAATTTCTGGACATCAGAATTTAGCATCAATTTAGTGAGACACTGGGGCATTGGTTTTTCAGTTCTGTTGGATGTTGCCACCTTGCAACTGTTCCTGTTTTACAGCATGTAATGATGGAGAAACAAAAGGCGTAGATGGATAGATTCTCATTTGGAGAATGAGAGCATCAGGGCTAAATTCTGTGTTAGGACAGATAAATGTGAAGAGAAGAGGAGATAAGTAAAGGTTGAAGTGATTCCATCTGTGAGTACGCATAGCAGACTTGAAACTAGCCTGTTCTCAAACTACCCTGCAGTTTTTGTTATTGCTTCTTGATCTCATTTTATAGCCCCTCCACTCTACACAAACTCACTTCGATCTTTGCCATTATGATTGTACATGTTGTAGTGGAAGATCAGATTAAGTGGGAGGAGATAAGGCCATTGGTCTCTAGAAATGTAAAACTGCTGGAAACTTTAAAGTCATGAAGAAAACTATTTCTTCTGTGTAGGAAAGAGAATAACTGGAGGTGTTTCAGTTTTGACCAATTAAACAAAATAGTTTTACTTTCCTACTGGGAAAATATTTTCTCTCCAATAACCTCTTATATTCTTGGGAAGTGTCCTTCCCTAGAAGCTTGAGAGTTTTTTCCAGTAGACTTCACATGCCTTGAAGATTACCAGACCCACACATCTTGTGAGAATCAAATGCAGTCAGTGAGCCAGGTGTTTGTCATTTCTCTTTGAGCAGAGCTATGGACCAGAGCATCTTCTGGTGCTGAAGAAAAATTTTTTTGTGCATTAAATTTTGATATAATTTTTTTTTGCAGGCACTTTGAGCAGATGAAGGATGATTCCATAGTGTGTAATATTGGCCATTTTGATGTGGAAGTTGATGCAAAGTGGTTGAATGAAAATGCAGTAGAGGCGGTGAATGTAAAACCTCAGGTGAGACAGCCCTTGCAGAAGCTCTCCTGCTAGAAAGAAGCAATAGCTACTCCATGTCTGTTTCCAGAAAGGCGGGTATTTCTCTTCAGGTCCTTTGTGTTTCTAGCTTTCTTGGAAGCCAGTGTTGCTGTGGGCTGATCAGAATGGAGATTCTGCTCTGCCTTGTGTTGGTGTTAAAGCAATTGGTTCCAGTCAGTGCCCAAGTGTACAGTGTGGTCTCTGGCGAGAGGTGCCTGGTGTGGGTTCTCCATGTGTTCCTACTTCCTTGACAAACAGGAGCCTACCCCTTAGTGGTGGCGATGTAGACAATTGCATTAAGTTCATCCCATGCAGGAAGTCAGCATTGTTTGGGGTATGGTGAGGATGTATGGAAATGTGCTTTCTTTGTTAGCCCCAGCTGAAAACAATGCCATAAATCACTTTCAAAAAGCCAGGTAGGTAACGAATACCCAACAGACCATTAGATTCTTAACACACAACAGACCATTCTTAAGAACAGCACCCATAGATTGCCTGGTGGCTGATCTGAATTTCCTGTTGGGAAGCTGCTTGCTCATGTACTGTTCTGTACCACCAGAACAATCTTGGTCCTGGTGCAGGGTGCCAGGATTAGAGTGAATCTCAAGGGAATGTCTTCTAGGATTCTGTCAAGGTTTGAAAAAATTCACACCTCTGTTTTCAAAGCAATTTTTTTTACTCAGAGATTTGAAGCCTCAGGAAAGCCTATCTGGAGCTCTGCCAAAGTCAGACTTCTTTTCCAGACTTAGTGGGTTCATTTTAGAAACTTGTATAGACCAGAAGTCTATGCGTGGGCAGAAAAGGCAGCATGTTTTATCCTTGCTCAGCTTGCGTTCCCACTGTGTATTTACTTCAAGCTATGGCTGTAGCTACACAGGAAAATAGGGATCTAAAAATTTCAGCTTTTTAGCTGTCTCCTGAAGCAGAGAAACAAAACAAAACTAAGTTAAAACTGGTTCGTAACACGCATAGTGAGGGAGAGCATCACATAAAGCAAACCAGGCTTTGCCTGACTTGGCATGGGACTTCTAGTTACCTTTTAAAGAGGGAGTGTGCTTGTTGATAGAAAACCTGTCTCAGAATCCTGCTACATTTTTAAAAACACCACACCCAAACATATGTCTTAGTAGATCTCAATCTGCCCTTCCAATTTTCATAACTCTCTGGTGGCTTATTAGCCACCCACATCAAACTCTAAGCCACCAAACTCTATTAGCCACCCACTCATCAAACACTAAGCAGGTGCGAGAGTCTTTTCAGTATCCTGTTTGCTGTTGGGACACTGAATGTGGGCTCAACTAGGTATGAAGTTGTACCCTCAAGTTCTCACTACGTTCAAGTCTGTTCTTGCCCATGACCTTAGTGTGGAGCTGACTTTGCTCAACAGCTCTTGTCCTAGAGCTGCCTGCAGCTAGCTGCTTGCTTTCTGGTAGCTTGGGTTTTAAAATTAAAACTGGGACTACTCAAAAAGTAAGCATTGTTGAAGGCTAAGTTGGATGTTAATATGATAACATACAAACTACCTGCACATGGCCATTCAATGTGGCTCTTAAAGTCCATATAAAAAATTGTGTCACTGTTGGCAGAAGTGTAGTCCTTTTATCTTTATATACTCTGTATTGAAGGAGCTAGTCTGTCACAGATGTTCTGGTTGCAATGAGATGCAGTCTAGAGCAAGGTATGAAAACTGTAACAAGTTTCTGGTTAAAACAATAATATTACCTTTTCAAAAAGATGGAATTAGGGTCAAGGTTGTCCATATGGTTTAATGCTGAAGACCTCCCTCCTATTGTGAATGTATCTGATCTGTTACATAAACTGCTGCTGTTGCAAGCAGGATGTTCAGAGTGACCCAGAGGATACCTGCTTACAGAGCAAAAGCTGTGAAAATAGCTGCCCAGCATGCAGTGGGTGCCGTAAGTGTGTTTGCTTAAAAGTCATTAGCTGAAGTTTTTAAAAGGGGTCTCTCAGAGCCCTGAGTAGACCACCTCTGTCTCAGTGTGATGCACAGAGAGCTGAAGCTCAGAGGATTCACTGGGGGAAATAGCACTTTACCCTTGGGCTGTTCTTGTACTTTTCCTTATCCATCTACTAGTTACCACTGGAGATGGGATGTACCTGGAGGTAAATCTGATCTTACGTGGCCATTCCATATGTTTAAAGCTTTACTGAAGTGAGGATGGCCTATAGATGTGTACGTTGCCAAGCCCAATAAAAGCTGGTCTATGACTCAGGTTAGTACTTGGTTTTGTTGACTTCTAGCAGTGAATCTGAAGCACTGTTAACTAGTTTGAATCTCCAGTTGGATTCTGTTATTGTTGTATTTAATGCTCTGTGTAGCTACACTGTGCTAGTGGTATAGCCCTATGCTCCATTTTGTGTCTGTTCAGATTTCTTGTCCCTAAAGACTTCAGACCTGCGTGACAAGGTAAGGAGGTACCTGCTGAGCGGGTGTTGCGTGAACAACTTCTGCTGTGAAAAAGCTTCATTATTAATTTTCATTCTCTGTGCCTGGCTGCCATGGTGGCTGGGCAATTGAGCACGAGTGGACTAATACACATCCTAAAAATTTACTCATTTCAAAAGGGGCAAAGGCAAGACTGGGAGCCAAAATGTGACTTTAGAGCCCTAAATTCCATGGTTGAAACAAAGTAAAAGGCATTGACTAGAAATTTGAATTGTTTAACTCTTCCAGGTCATGCATTAACTTTAGGTTTAGAACCAAGCTCCCAGGAGGCATCCTGCAGCTCCTGCCCCTCACCACCTGCATGGGAATTCATCTGCATGTGTTGGGACCTTTCTCAGGCCAGTAGTGATGAGTCATTACAATAATTGATGGAATTGCTCTTATACTGAAATCTGGGAAGGAAATTATCAGGCCATTGCTGGTTTCTCAGGCTTCTTGCTCAAATTCATTAAAGGGACATTTCGGTAGTCATCTTATACCAAGTCTTGGGCGCCTAAAGGGGATGTCAGTCCTGTGTTAAGTGTGAGGTCTTGCACTTATCCTTAGAAAAACACGTTTTTTCGCATCGATGTTCTGGGTGTAGTATCCTATGTTTTTTAATACCAAGTACTAACTTGCTAAATAGTCAAATTTTTACTAAGACCTGGCAGATTTTTTCTATATCCTGTAGCAGGGAGGGGAATATAGTACAAGAGCAAAAATCTCTCACCTCCTGTGAAAACATCTGTCTCTTGATCAGAGGATTAATACCAGAGCTGAGGGTTGCTACACCTCAGCTAGAGGTACAGAGCAATTAAAAGTGCCCAACACAGAGGTTTTCAGTACCGTATGGTCTCCATTTACAGGTGGTGAGCTGGTGTAAGAAATGTTTAATATCTGGGAAAGGAAAATGTCTTATTGTGACATTCTGACCTATCTGTTGCTTTCAAAGTACAGTTAAGGAGGAAATAGGCTTATTACTAAAAAGCTGGCAGGTTGTTTTGAATATGAGTTTGCATTGCAGTCCTGCTCAGCTGCCTTATCAGAGACTGATGGGTAACATCAACTCCAGAGGGGAAGGAAAGGTCAGGGTGAGATCGATGAAATTTGGCTCTGAAAATATTTATGTATTGTGCTGTGGAGGGAAGTGCAAAGCAGCCAGAAGGTCCAGAGCAAGCTAAATGCTGATGGGGAAAGGGAGGAGGCATTTGTATAGGTATGGAGATGAACCTAATGCTTGGATAACCTGAATTCTTCTAGCAATTTCATATGAATCAGCCTGTTTATCTGCCCATAGATGAGATGTGTTTCCACAGTACTGACTTAAGCTTCTGCTGGTACTACTACTTTTTTGCGTTTATTTCTGTGCAAAGACATAAATTTGCATTTTCTGCATTACCCTGTGCATTGAATGAGTCATGTCAGCAGATTGCTGAAGCTACGTGATTCTATGCACAAGCGAGCAGCTGTCCAGGTGCAAGTTGTGTGGATATTATATGGATATAATATTATGACACCTAAACCACATGATTCAGACTTCAAAATTGAAATGCTGTTTAACTGCTACCTTGTTTAATCGGTAAATATAATTATTTATATTTAACATAAATAATATTCTAGCTGTTCTCAGGGTTTTTAGTGTTCTGCCTTCTGGCTGCTTTCTTCTTTGTTTCATTACTTCCTGCTGTAATCTTATAGCCCATATGGCATATTTTGGGTGGACTGAGCACTGTCACTGGTGGTCTACAATGGAGAGTCAGCATCCATAAGAAATATTGCAACTGCTCAGTGCAGTGAATTCTTACTAACCCTAACTTCCTGTACTGCTCTTGGATAGGAGATATTAAGAATGATATTAGGGCTTCTGTTTGAGGTGGTTACTGTCTGCTTATGTTGTGCTGAAAACATAATAATCTCTTATATGAACCCAAGGAGTAGAAAATAGTGCTGTAATTGAAGCATAGCTGGGGAAGACAGGTGGAGGCGTAAACCCTGCTCTGAAAACAATATACCTGTTCTAATAAATACCTGTTCTAATAAAATGGTTTCTATTGGTTTACTTTTTACATCTCTGCTAAGGACCTGCACAAAGATGTTTTTTTCAGAAGATAGTATTGTTACAGTTAAAGCTTCATCCCATGTGGCTTAACTTACAGGTCAATTTAGGAATGAAACTGAGAACGATGTGTGTTTTGCTTCATATAAAATAACTTTTGAGACTAAAAATATAAGTACACCTGTGGGGAGGGACTCTTGTAGGTCTTTCATAGTTGTTGTTCTATGATGGCATAAGATAAATGGACTTGTCTAAAGCATTAGCCTTTGTCAAAGTTGGTTGTTGATTATCTTTTAAGTCTTTCCAAAGATTTGATTTACTCACACGTGATTGGTGTGACATGAGCAACAAACACCAGTGAATACTGAATATTCTTGTAACTTCTAGGCCATATTGGTGTTTCGTTCTGGGCTTTAATACTGAAATCTCTTAGAGGGCTGAAGACAAGGGAGATCAGAGCTAGTGACTGGTGGAAAGGAGAAACAGCGTTAAGTTTAACACTGCAGGAGCCCAATCTGGCCCAGACAGTTGAGGCAGATATTAATTGGCATTACCTTCGAATTGTGTGGGACTCTCATATAGCTGAAGAGCCATCTCCTTAGCGCATCTGAGACTTGATTTTGTGTGTAAAGTCCTGTTGCCCCCAGCATAGCTTGGAAATCAGTCTGAGTGGAGGACCATGTCTTTGGTCCCCCTGAGGGCAGAGGAGGGTACACCAGAAGCTAGGAGGACAGCTGTTTATTATGCTGTAAAGCAGTGACCTTATGGAAGTGGGAAGAGTTACAGGGGAGCCATTTTAGCAGGCTGAGGACTCGGGCTCTTACCTCTGTGTTAGATGCAAAGGCTTGGGACTGTTACATGCAGAGGTGTTCCCTCTTCTCTTCTGTCTCTCCACACCAGTTGTTGCAATTAGGCATGTATGAACTGCATTTTACTGCTGGCAGCATGCTCCCCACCACAGCTGTCTGAGACAACATGCATGTGGAGAAACCAGAACCGGATAACTGGTTAAATATGAAGCAGATGCTAAGATTCATGTTGTGCAAAGTGCAGAATAGCTACAGGCTTTGCAAACACTGGCAGGGAATTGAGGGAGGGGTGTCTCGATTGTAATCAAAGTCTCTGTTGCAAGCCCACTGAATTGTTGATGTGGGAAGAAAGCCCACCAAGCTTTACATGATTTAAAATGCTCTCTTTACCCTGACATTGCACTGCTCTTCTGTTTTCCCACCCAGGTGGATCGCTATACTCTGAGGAATGGCCGTCATATTATACTGCTGGCAGAAGGTCGACTGGTCAACTTGGGCTGTGCCATGGGTCACCCGAGCTTTGTTATGAGCAACTCCTTCACCAACCAGGTGCTGGCACAGATCGAGCTGTGGACCAATAGTGACAAATACTCTGTTGGAGTCCATTTCCTGCCAAAGAAGGTGAGTTACAATAGCAGAAAGATGTAAGCTTGTAAGGAAGCCAACTCCAGATGTGATCGTGTAGATTTGGTTTGTTTGTGCTCGTGTTCATTTTCCTACTGAATGTTGTTGCAAGGAGTTTCTGTCCCTCAGTGAATGCTTGGCTTTGGTCATGCCCAGTCTGAAGTGGGCTGGTTTTTGTGGCTAACCTCTTGTTCAGAACTGGGACTTGTCTGTCACATGTGATAGGAACATCTAGTCACTTTTTGGCTTGACCTGGGGCTCTTACCTAAGGTGCTGGGAAGTCCTGTGCTGCGTCAGAGTAGTCAGGGAGCTTCTCCCAATCAACTTGTTCTTTCTGCTGAACGTCAGCATTCACGGCAAGCTTTCACTTGCCTATCCAGCAGCCAAGTCTTGTGGGGCAGAGTTGAAGCTGGAGTGAAACTAGGAATTGCTTTTACTATGGTTGATAGAGTCTGGGTCCCACTTATACCTGAGCAGAGCTTATCACAATCTGGTCCTAATAGTGTCACAAAATATTAATGACAGATTCCCTCAAGTTTCCCTTTAAACTTCTCTCTGCATTCTTTGTTCTTGGAAAAATCTGGATCGTGTCACAACTCACATTCTTTTTATAAAACTAACCTGGTTTTAATTTTCCAAAACAAGCCTGAGAATTTGAAATGGTGATTGAAAAAGATGCTGGAGTTCAGTCCCACTGCCTTTGGAATGCAACCAGGTGTGAAACTAAATGTGAAAGTACTTTTCATTTGGGAAGTAGAATGTGTATATTTGGGCTTGCTTATGAAGTGTTAAGCTTCCAAAACCATACGTTAGTGATCAAGCAAAGCATACCAGAAATACAATGTAGGAGTTGATCAGCAAGCTGACACTTAATCATCTTCAAAGAAAAAGCTTTGTTGATAATTCTCTTGAAAATGATAGTCCAATGTTGCTAATACAATGTAGCTTCATCCTCTTCCTGAATAACAATTTTTAGTAAGCATACTTGAACTGGAAGTGAGAAGTAATGCCCAGATCAGTTACTTACAAATGGAGTGGTGTGTTAGTGGATCATATGGCAGTGATCTTTTCAGGTTCATGTACTGTGACAAAATAGTCTTTTTACCCTCTGTGCTCCATACAGAACTTCAAAGAACAAAGCTGTTGCCTTGTCAGAACCAACAAAAGATGGGAAGAGCAGCTTTCTCTGATAATTTTCTGGCTAGTATTTTTCCTTGTTCTGTGTAGTAGCTTTCAGGTCCAAATGTAAAATTTAAGAATTACCAAGTACCTTACATCGCACTTTCTTTGACTGCAAGAATATTGCTTTGATCAGCTGTTACGAACATGCACACATTTCTGCAATGTGTGTTTGCAGAAATCTAGGTAAACTCGTGTCTGTGTTCTTGGCATGAAATCTGTCCATCCTTATGTTCAGCTATCTGATTTTAAGGTAAGAATGTCAGCTTACCTTTGTCTACATTTTTGTACTTTTTTAATCTATATCTTGAAGTCCCCAAGCTGAAGCAGCTGTGAAACAGCTTTTCTCTGCTCCAGTTTGAGAGCCTGATCTGGGAAATGTCAGGGACTCAGCTCCTTTTCAAGTGGGGGTAATCTGTTTTAAACTTCCTGGAAATGCACCTATCAGTCTAGTCAACCAGATATGCATTCAATTTTTAACCCTCCTTTTTCTGGCAGGTTCTACTAAGCTTAAATACTTGTTTCCCTTCTCAAGACAGTACTTCCAGTTAACTTTTCTTTCTTCCGTGATTTTCCTGACTCTTCAGTAGATTTCATGGTACGCTTCCACAGTCTTCAAAATTAAAAACATAAGATGAAGTGGTTGTCTTGCACATCTTTGGCTGTGTTGGTTCTCAGGAGATACTGGTGGTTCCATATTCTCAAGAGATCTATGAGCTGTAGTGAATTGTACTCTGTACAGATGTAGCTTTTTACCTGGTTTGTTACAATGGGATTAGTTCAGAGTAGTTGCTTGTTACCACACTCCCTTGGAGTGAGAAATCTAGGACTAGTTATTGAATCATTTAGGGCATGCTGGTTCACACAAGCTGAAAATCTGGCCCTCGATTGTTTTGTTGATTTATTGCCCTCAAATATATCAGAACCTTTCACATCTATTTAACTAGTATGGGGGAAATATCACCAGTCTTTCCCATGCTGCTGGAATCTAGACTTACCTTTTATCTGTTCCCTTAGCAATGATTGCTTGTATTTTGCAGGAATTGCAAAAGGTGGTCAAACTTGTCCTTCTGTTGTAACTTGACAGCACCCTGTCCCTTCTTAGTGCAGTCCTTTCTATCTCTGAATATCCTTTATGGCTGTACATTCTCCTCTGACATAGCAGCTAGTTTGCCATTTTAGTGTTTGTTTTCTGACTCTTCTGTACCTATCTCCTGTATCACTCAACTGTCTTGTCACTGTACACATTTTTCAACCCCCTGAGTTTGCCAGCCTGCCTGACACCTGAGATAAAGTATATAAACATTTCTGAGCCTGTGTCCTACAGCCCACCCTGGCTTTATTCTTCATGAAGATAATGCCAATAGATAGTAGTATTCTTGCCAAATTAGTGATTCTGGAATGAATTTCTTAATTAATGTACCCCTAAGATGGGATATCTGGAAAGGAGATGCATTTTTTCCGGTATTAGAACTTATCTAAACTTGTAAGATGATATAGTATGTCCAGCTGTTTTTGTGGTGGAAACATGACTGAGGCTTTACATTCTATCAAAGTGGGTATTCTTACCTCTCAATGGTTTGATCTCTGTTCTTTACTTATTGGATGGATGTGAATGTGTAAATGAGATTGAAATGGGCTTGATTATAGAAAAGTTGTCTGTCTCACTTAAGCTTGACTCCCTCAAAAGCCTGGGGCTTTTCTATCTGAATGCAGTTCAGTGCTCAAAGCAGATGCCTCTGTGCTCAAGCAGGTGAGCTATGTTGGCAGGAAGAGAGCTGTCTGACTGTTCATCTGTGTCAGTCTGCTCAGTCCTCCTTGGGTCTGCTGTTGGTTTTCACATACTCATTTCTCACTATTGACCATGACTTCCTGAACTAATAGGATTCCGTTCTGCTAATATTCTTGTCTCAATGTTTTGTTTTCCAGCTGGATGAAGCTGTGGCTGCTGCTCATCTGGATAAACTGTGTGTGAAGCTGACGAAGCTGAGTGACAAGCAGGCCAAATACCTAGGCTTATCAAGAGATGGGCCATTCAAGCCAGACCACTACAGATACTGAGCAGGTGGCACTACCCAAAGACCAAAGTGCAGGGATGCAACCTTCCAAAGCTCTTGTGTGTGCTGGGCTTCTGAGAACAAGTGCTTTGCCGTACTCCTCTCAGTGCTGCAGAACCCCTCCCCTTACCAAGGGAGCTTCAGGGCCTTATTTGTTAGTGAAAGAGGATCACTGCCTCTTGGAATTAGAATTGGTTACTTAGCTAATGTCATGGTGAAAAGGATTTTATGCACCTTTTATTGGCTTCTAATGTCCCAATAAGGGGAACAGGACAGAAGATTGCTAAATGAAAATGCACAGTCTTGTCAAACAGGTGGCTGGCAGCCTCTTCGAACAGACTAACCAATAAAATGGGGAACGGTTTCTACAGGGAGATGCTTTCTGCTGTGCCCTGCTCAAATTAGATGAATCCTATTAGGTGGCTGGCAGTGTCAGGCTTCTCTCCACAAAAGTGCCCTAGCTGAAGTGCACATTGTAAAACTGGAGGAAGTAGGGAGGAGTATAGGTTACTTAATCTCCTTCCTATAAAATCAACTTAATCTCCTACTTGGAGGTTAGAGCTGGAGGGTTTTTTTTCTGGGTTAATTTACTCCATTGGTTTTGGCGAGAACAAAGACCCTTCCATGCTTCTTCCATACCAACTCAAGGAGGGGAGGCAAGAGTGACTTTGTTTTAGCAGCCTTCTAGTGTGTTGTGAAGAGCTGGGAAGCCACTGAGGGGACGGGTAGGTTTAGGGACCTTGTTCAATCCTCCGAAAACACCAGCAGCACACTTCTACCCCCAACTTGATTTTTGAGTTGTCATGTCTGCTGTATCTTGTTTGTCACTGACTCAAAGTGCTTTTATTAAAGATCTGACTGTGGCTTGGCTTGTTTTGTGTTGTGAGATGCTTTGGGTTTTGCCATGGATTTGTTTTCTTTTGTGTGATCCTTAAGCTACTGAAAATATGTATCCACACAGGGCTTCCTCTAGGCCAAAGCCAGTGCTGTGGCTAGCCTGCATCATATACTTGAACAGGGAAGAGCTGCTCCTCAGGTTATTTAAATATTTGAAGGGCTGAATCTTACAGGAAAAACACTCTTCCCCTTTGCCCACACAAATTTATCTATGTATATGTCATGGAAGTCCTCTTCTACCACTGTCCCCTTCAGTCAGCATTATACAGCAGGCCACCTCTGTTTCTGGCTGTAAGATGATGAAAGCTTTGGTATGATTTTCAAAACATGCTTGAAGGACTCTGAGATTCATGTCCAAATACCAGGTGTGATGTCAGTGAGCAGTTAAAACAGATGGTGTAGAGTAAGAACTGTTGGAAGTGGAAAAAGAGGGTATGATTAAACAAGGTGTTGCTTTGTATGCAACTCTTCATTGCTTTGTTTTGCACTGACCTCTAAAAAGCACCAATTTTAACTGAATTTGGGTCCCACAAATCCCAAAGGGGATTATCCTTTAAACTTACATATATACACTGAGATTCATGCAGACGCAGAGTTGCAGTACACATCTAAATGTAGGCAATGGTCACCTTGTGTCATACATAGCTGCATGTGACAGAGAATAATGACAGAAAATGATGTTGTAGTAGAACAAATGCAATAGAAAACCAAGGACTGAGTGTTGTCCTTCTTATTCTTGATTAGTTTCCTCTAGGTGAGCTTTGGCTTCTCTAAACCCATTTGTCAGCTGAATGTGTCCTATCCTGAAGTACAGGATTGTAATTCTGCTCTTGGACTTGGATCATGGATTCATATTAGTTAGGAAGGGCCACCTGGAGGTCTCTGGTTCATCCCTGTCCTCATACCAGGGTCAGTTTGGTCAGGTTGGAGATCCGCTTGCTCAGGTGAGTTTCAGTTGTCTGCAGGGACAGAGATCCTTAGGCTTTTCTCCCAATATTTGATCACCCTCTAGATGAAAACATTTCTCTACATTTAACTGGAATTTTCTGTGTTGCAGGCTATACTCATTGCTTCTCATTTTTATCCCTGTGCATCTCTGAGAAGAGTCTAGCTCCATCTTCACTGCATGCTTGTATTAGTCACAGGCAGCAATAAATCCCCCTTCACCTTCTCCAGGTTGAATAAACCCAGGTCTTAATCTCTTTGTGCATCCTTCAGTCCCCTCATCTTGATAGCCTTCTGTACTCAGATGAATGCTCTGAGGTACGTCAATGTTGTTGTTATACTGGGAAGCCAAAACTGGATGCAGGTGTCCTTAAAGTGCTAAACATGGGAGAAGAATCCCTTGTCCTGACCTGCTCGTTCTGCTTTTGTTGGTACAGCTCTGGGTAAAGTTTGTCTGCTTTACTGCACAGGCAGCCAAGGACCTTAGACTTCACAGTCTATGGAAGAACAACTGCCTTCACCTTGCCATCTTTGATCATTTTGGGGGGGTTTTTGAGTAACAGATCCAGCAGATCATCTCCCTTAGTTGGCTCATTGACCACCTGTGTCAAGAAATTGGCCTTGATGGTCTCCTTAAATCTGGATTGCTTGTGCACAAATGTACTGCCCTTTCAGTAGATGCCAGAGTGGTTGAGATGAAGTCTGCCAGGTTTTGCTAAAAGCTTAAAGAAATTTTTAGCTACTTCCTATTCTGGTCAGGCGGTCTTTGTCAGATGCCTGCCATGGTGCCACCTGAATTGGTCTGTCCTCCGATATTTAACCCAGAAACCTTTGAGTCAAGTCTGAAAGAATTGCAGTCTCACAGGAGTTAAAGATGACTAGCTGACACCCTGAATTTACCTAAAATAGATATCACATTGGGTGATCAACATAAAGTGTGCTATGATAGCAGTGTACTTTTTTGTTTGGAATGGGTTTTTTGGGAAGATTTGTCAAGATGTTTTTGAATAGGGCCTAGCAACCAGTGGTTCTGTGTTAATGCTTTGTTCTCATTTCGTATGTTGGGTAGTGGGTCAGGACTTTTTCCCCCACATTTCTGTTTACGTTCATTACAGATTGCAGAATTCAGGTGTTTAATGCGTTGAGAAATTTGTTTGTGTATATACACGTGTGTTTGGTTCTCAGAAAACTTGGTCTTGTGTTTCCTGGTTGTTGGAGCTCTTAGGAAGTCTGGTAAACATTAGGCTCAGGGGCAGCAGCTCCTGAGTTGCTGAAAATATTTCTAGTGAGAGATTCTGTGTGCAAAGCTATGCCTAGAGAGCCCAATGCAAAGTCCTGTTTAGTCCCTGTTCAAAGTCCAGAGGGTTTAAGCACATGAAATTGTGATTCAATAGATGAGTTGGGGAATTGTCCAGACACCAGCAGCTTAACCAGGTATGAAACCATGTCTGCTTTGCAAGGCCCTGGGCCAGGGCACTAAAGCATCACTGCAAGAAGGAAGAGTACGGTCTAATGACTTCCTAGCACAGCATTTTCATTGAGCAAACTCATGAAAACCTGGTTTGCTGCTGAAAATACAGTAGTTTGAGCAAGTTAACAATGTGGGAATTTGTCTTGAAACATGGTTTGAATTGATAAAATATAAAATTTATATTTGGAATATATTCTGCTAGATTTTCTATTTTATGTGGTTGAAGAGGACTAGATCAAACACAGACCCTAATAAAAATACTGGCAGAATTTCTGTTCCTCCCTCCCACTCCCTGCAGTGCCATTGTGGTTTAGCACTGCCGGCAGAAGAAATGCTATGCCCAGTACCTGTCAACAGTGTGGTTTGTGAATTGGCAGTGTTAATGCAAGAGGGTGTTTGATATTTTTGCTCAGCTCTTATTGTACACTGCATAGCCATTGTTTAGGTACAGCTTAGCAGCTTCTCTTCTTAAACAGGGTCATGTAACCTCTTGCTATGTAATGAGCTATACTTTGGCCAAACTCGTGTTGCTTCTGTTTGAACTCAAGGACAATTTTGAATAACCTTTAGAGTAAAATATGCAGATTTCACTTCTGTTTCTGAAGCTTTCCAGAATGGATGAAAGACTTTGAAACATGACCTTTGATGTAGCAGCTGATTTCCTTTAAAAAAATGTATATTGTTGTTTCATGCCCTGATGCCTTGCTAATTTCTCAATGGGTGTCTGATCTGTATTGAAAGAAAAGTGTGCCCAGGTGGCCAAGAAGGCCAACAGCATCCTGGCTTGTATCAGACATAGTGTGGCCAGCAGGACCAGGGCAGTGACCTTCCCCCTGTACTGGGCACTGGTGAGGCCGCACCTCGAGTGCTGTGTTCAGTTTTGGGCCCCTCGCTCCAAGAAGGACATTGAGGTGCTGGAGCGTGTCCAGAGAAGGGCAACAAAGTGGTGAAGGGTCTGGAGCACAAGTCTGGTGAGGGGCGGCTGAGGGAACTGGGGTTGTTTAGCCTGGAGAAGAGGAGGCTGAGGGGAGACCTGATCACTCTCTACAACTACCTGAAAGGAGGTGGTAGCCAGGTGGGGGTTGGTCTCTTCTCCCAAGGAACAAGTGATAGAATAAGAGGAAATGGCCTCAAGTTGTGCCAGGGGAGGTTTAGATTGGATATTAAGAAAAATTTCTTCACTGAAAGCATTGTCAAGCATTGGAACAGGCTGTCCAGGGAAGTGGTGGAGTCGCCATCCCTGGGGAGATTTAGGGACATGGTTTAGTGGTGGAGTTGGCAGTGTTAGGTTCATGGTTGAACTTGATGATGTTAAGTGTCATTTTCAAGCTAAATGATTCTATGAAATCACTCAGCCTTATTGCTTGCTTTTTATTGGCAAGAGCACATCTGTCACTGAAAGTTTCACTAAATAATTTACAGATTTTTTTAGTTATATAATTTCTTTTTAATATACATGCAATTAATGCAGTATTCAGTCTAGCCTGAGATTGAGAACCTTGATTTGTTGAATACAGATTGTCATTCCCACTGTGATTACCTTACAGTGGTTTTAGCAGGAGCTAATGAATGAAGAATAGCACCAAAGAGAGACAGCATCTGTAGATACGGAAACTCACAAGCGCCCCCTCCTCAGCGCTGAAACCCCATGCATCAGCAGCTCATGTGGCATCCCACATCTGGCATGGTGAGGCATGTGACAATGACAGACTACAACTTTTCTCAGTTGTGTGACTCTGCACAGCAGATGTCACATAGATGGGGTGAGGTGTGAGCTGCGGGGCTCTGGATCTGGCTTCCAGGCCAGAAACACCTTACAGTGCTGGCACCTTTGGTCTGGGAGCAGGGGCTGGACGTTTTGAGTTTTGAGGCTGGGTGCCGGCAGAGAGGGCGAGTGAG